ATGTGAAGACTGAAAAGGGGGGCAAACTGCCGGAGCCCAATGGAATCTTAGACCTTCTCTGACCTATATGTTTGTATATAATAATATAGAGATAAAGAGTCCAGATTCTTTATAATTAACAGAAGCCTCATATCACAGAACCCTTAATATCCAGATTAGATATAGATTGACCCAGATTTACACACTGGATCACCCAGCTCTGATCACACCACACATTACAGCGCTAATCTGCCTTTTAGCAGAGTTGTTTGTTAAACCTTGAACTGATACCAGACGGTTTCATTTATGTGACAGGGGTGCATGTACTTTCAATCCACAGAAAAGGTCCAAGACTTTTAGTGTTCCGAGTCTGTGTTAAATGGAAGAGTACTTTAAGCCCATGTAATATTCCCACAATAAAGCCTACAGTAAACACGAATAGGTGACCCATCCACCAAGGACCCTGGCGGCAAATTCCCAGCAGAGAAATATTAATATAACAGGAGAACATATTAGCTGCAGAGAATATACCAACAGATCTACCAGCGTTCACCAAAACAATAATGGATATAGAAGGAGCATGGAAATGATCCCCTTAGGGTACATTACAGTAACCCTACCAGCGACAATCAATGCTGCATGCGTATAAACATTGAAAGGAGATGGGAAATCCTGCACCCTGTGTAAATCAAAGCATTAGAATAAACAACACATTTTAGAATGCAACAAAATGGTTGAATTCTAATAAAAGTCGCCACTTGACCCATCCGACACCTCACCTTCCGATAACCTAGGCTGAGGGGGAACAGAACAGTATGTTTATCTAGATTGCATAGTTTCTTATAACGTATGGGTTGGATTTTTTGTTCTTTCTTTGGGGGTGGCAGGAGCAATGTGGTGTAATATGTTTGGCTAGGGGCTGTAGAGGGTGAGAGAGTGAGAGTATAGGGGGTGTAGTGTGTGTGTGTATAGATGATGTAGTGTGTGTAGGGGTTGTAAAGTGTGTGTGTTTAGGGAAAGTAGTGTGTGTGTCATTAATGGAGTGTGTGCCTATAGGGAATCTATTGTGTGCGTAGGAGATTTAGTGTGTGTGTGTGTGTGTAGAGAATTCAGAGTGTGTATAGGGCTTCTAGTGTGTGTATGTGTGTGCGTAGAGGATCCGTAGTTATGTACGGGATCTAGTATGTGTGTATAAGGGATGTAGTGTGTGTGTAGAGGATCCGTAGTTATGTACGGGATCTAGGGTGTGTGTATAAGGGATGTAGTGTGTGTGTGTGTGTAGATGATTCAGAGTGTGTATAGGGATTCTAGTGTGTGTATGTATATGTGCGTGCGTAGAGGATCCGTAGTTATGTACGGGATGTAGGGTGTGTGTATAAGGGATGTAGTGTGTGTGTGTCTACAATGTAATGTGTGTAATTTCCCTGATGGTGTTTTCCAATTTCAGATATTTAGCTCTTGGTATTTTACGTTTTCATACATTTACCAGCTTTCAAGTATACAATGGCCTGGTTTATTTACCAAAGATTACATATTTTATTTATTTCAGGGTCTATTCCCTACCCTGGTCACCTTTACCTTTCCAAGTTATGGTTATGGCACACGCACTATTTTTGTTTTTTCTATTATAATTATTAGTTATTATGTTTATTTGCAAAGTGTCAGCATGTTCCATAGTGCTGTGAAATATTAATATCATTGTGAGCCCAAGACTTGTTCATGGACTGAAATATCCCGTACACCTTCTGTCACCATTGTCTTTTTATCCTCACTTTTTCCCATCACTTTGTCAGCCACATCAGACATCTAAAAGTGTAATCCTCCATATCGCAACAAAATCAGTGACCGGCAAATAAAAACTAGCAGTAGGGGAGGATGGATTAATAAGGTCGATAGTAAGGAAAGAAGATGAAATGCTGCTGAAGTCCAGGAAGGTGAAGATGAGAGGAGAGGTAAGTAAGACTAGCAGACAGAGCAAGAAGGTATGATTTAAATGTTGTTCAAATAAAGTTCAATAAACAAATGGTAGCTTATGGGTAAAAATATGTAGAGGAGGAAACGGGGGATATCCATTAATAGTAGGGATATATTACAAGCCCCCAAACATTAATACTGATGGGGAAGAGCAACTGTTATCTCAAATTAATAAGGCCACACAACTGGGTAATTTGTTAATCATGGGGGATTGTAATTATCCAGACATTGATTGGGCCAGAGAGTCTAGTAGTACAGTTAAGGAATACAGGCTTTGGAACCAGGTAAATTATAATTTGATGGCTCAATTAGTAGATGCGCCAACTAAAATAGATGTTTGTCTGGATTTTCTCATAACAAGTACAGTAGCACAATATGGTATTATTTGAGATTAACTCAAAAAACAAATTTATACAGGCTGTACAAATACGCTTTATTTTAGAAAGGCTAAATTCAATAAGATAAGGGCATATTTCCAACTAATTGACTGGCAGGAATTATTCACAAAAGTGCATTTCTCTATACATATCATTTGTATAAAATAAACATAAAAAAGCAAATGAAAAGCAATGTGGCTTAGTACAATGGTCAGTCTAACGATAAAAGATAAGGAAAGGGATTTCAAAACATTTAAATCGGAGGTCGATTACAACATATAACAAATATATTCATGCCAATAAGACTTGCAATAGGATGATTAGATAGGCTACAACTGAAAATGAAAAGTTCATAGCTATATCCTTAGCCGAGGATTATACTGCCCAGGCGCAGCAATTGGAGCTAATTTATAAACACTGTAAGTGCAAATCCTCTTTTTTGTTCCACATTCCAATCATCATCCTACTACACTATATTACCTTTTTTTGCTATGTTTTTTCTCTATCATTTTACCACAGTTTGGATTTGAGGACTTCACCAATTTCCCTCCTAACCATATATCTATGTCGATTCACGTTAAAGTGTATGATTATAGCAATGATATAACGTTTCCGTATAAAACTGACCATTTACAATGGTGATCACCATTACCGTGCCAGCTACATTGCTGTATCCCGGGCTGTTAGGATGTGAGGTACAGCAATGTAGTGCGTAATTAGGGACTGCTGGGCCACAGGGAAAGAATGACAGAAGTTGCCCCACTCCCAAGCAATACATTTAAGTGGGATGTGTGTTGTGGCAATGAGTGAAGTGGGGGTGGCTGAGTGTGATTGTGTGTGAGGCTTGGCTGAGTGTGATTGTTAGATTGGCAGTTAAGATGCTGGCATTTTTCTAGGGTAATAGGTACCTACCTACCTGCAAGATACTGTGGATTGTAACTCTGATCATTTTGAGGGTTAGGCAACCGTCAGCACTCCAGAATTTGTGGACTATATCTCCCATAGTGCTGTGACAGCCATAATGCTGTCATAATAACACATAACAATCTGCATATGTGTATAACACACAATACTACATGCTTAGTCAGTACTATACAGCTCTCTACTGGTGACCAGAGCAGCAATAATAACCCTGCAGATTGCACTCTCTCATATGCCAAAACAAATAATCCCCAAACACGAACCCTGCCTCTAGCACTCCAGATGGACTCCTATTTAACTCAGTCAGTCACACCTTTGCTAAGTATTATGGGAACTGTAGTTTACACCAGATGGAGATTCAGAAATTGAAACCGCCTTCTATGTAATAATTAATGGATGGCATATTGAGACTGCTACTCCCTCCATGCTGATCCAATTTCTTACTTGGAATGTGTAAGGGTGACATTGTAGCAGTTAGGTTCTAATCATGATAACTGGGATTCCATCCGTTCCTGATTTAAATTGCAAGCTCTGCAGGTTCCTATCTGTATCAGCAGGTGTTTGTCATTCAGCTTTCAATGTCTCTGTGACCGTTACCACAACCTTTTACCTAGAAGCTGATACCTACCCTGTCACTTTGACACAGATCATTGATGTCTAACCTTGACACCCCAGCTGTTCCTGACTACATTTCTCAGCATGCTCAGTCAGCCTCAAGGCCAGCTAAGCATCCTGTGAAATGTAGTTTAATTCCATCTGAGATGCCATGGTTAACCATCACTAGCTTGGACATTTTAACATGAACCTTAACCCATGCCAAGCCCCCTCCAATGTCTTACATGTCTCTGCTCTCCCCCACAAATCCTGCCCCTCCCCCTTTTATTAGCCTCCATCTTTGTGTTACTTGCAACTGTAGCCATATGGCATTGCTAAGTCACTGGCTGAGAGTGAAGGGAGTTGCGGTTCCTATTTTTTTGGGCTCTCCCCCTCCCCCCCCGCTACAAGACTGCGTTTATAAGACTTGCTCAATATTCCATTAATTGACTATTTTAAAAAATACAGAAATACATTTACCCCCCACCCGGTCTTTCTCTCTGATTTTGTTACATTAGAGAGTTTCCCAGCCTTACAGCCTCCATCTCCCATTCTCTCAGTCTCCCCCTCTGTCTGTCTGTCTGTCTGTCTGATTTTGTTGCATTAGAGAGTTTTCCCAGCCTTACAGCCTCCATCTCCCATTCTCTCAGTCTCCCCCTGTCTGTCTGTCTGATTTTTGTTACATTAGAGTTTTCCCAGCCTTGCAGCCTCCATCCCTCCCATTCTCTCGATCTCCCCTCTGTCTGTCTGTCTGTCTGTCAGTTTTATTTACATTAGAGTTCCCAGCCTTGCCCAGCCTCCATCTCTCATTCTCTCAGTCCCCCCTCTGTCTGTCTGTCTGTCTGTCTGATTTTTGATTTACATTAGAGTTTCCCAGCCTTGCAGCCTCCATCTCCCATTCTCCTCCAGTCTCCCCCCTCTGTCTGTCTGTCTGTCTGTCTGATTTGTTGCATTAGAGTTTCCCAGCCTTGCAGCCTCCATCTCTCATTCCTCTCCAGTCCCCCCTCTGTCTGTCTGTCTGTCTGTAACCACAATTTTTGTTACATTAGAGAGTTTCCCAGCCTTGCAGCCTCCATCTCTCATTCTCTCAGTCTCCCCCCCTGTCTGTCTGTCTGTCTGATTTTGTTACATTAGAGAGTTTTGCAGCCTCCATCTCTCAGTCCCCCCCTCTGTCTGTCTGTCTGTCTGTCTGATTTTGTTACATTAGAGAGTTTCCCAGCCTTGCAGCCTCCATCTCCCATTCTCTCAGTCTCCCCCTCTGTCTGTCTGTCTGTCTGTCTGATTTTGTTACATTAGAGAGTTTTCCCAGCTTTGCAGCCTCCATCTCTCATTCTCTCAGTCCCCCCCCCCCTGTCTGTCTGTCTGATTTTGTTACATTAGAGTTTCCCAGCTTTGCAGCCTCCATCTCCCATTCTCTCTGCCTCTCCCTCCTCCTGTGTCTGCTCTCCCCCCCTCCTGATCAGCTTGGAGGAGGGAGGGATGGAGGAGGGAGGGAGGGGGAGTTCTCTGGCTCCCTCCCAGAGCACAGTAATTCCCTTACGTCCTCCAGTTTCGAAAGATCTTTTAGGGCCAATGGTAAGCTGCCTGCTGCTGGTCCCCGGGCTATGATTGGCCATTTTCCTCTGCTGATTGCCCTGGAAACCTTAAACAGGGAGCAGGGGGGGTGGGGGGGATGCTCATGGTGGAGGGGAGGTGGAGATGGGCATGTGGCTCAATACATGTGGAGATACAGTGACAGCCTGACAGCAGACAGTGGCAATGTAAGTTCCCCTCAGCAGGTGGAGGGGTGGGAGGTGCAGGGGGAGCCCTAAAATTATAAAGACAATATTAAAAAAATGGGGGGATGGGATGTAGATAGGGAGAAGATATGGGGGATTTAACAGGAGTGAGATAGAGCCGAGGTAGGTAGAGGTGATGGACATCAGACTTGCAGAGTCACAGCAGATGGTGGCATAGGGCATGTGTGATTGTCACAGGTACTAATCTTTGACATCCTAACAGAAAGAAGAGGAAGACGTAGTCTGGCACCTGTGCCCCCCTGGAAGTTTCCACCATGGGTATGGGTGGGCAGAATGGCGAGGACTGCAGTACCAGCTGTGTAAAGTCCGAGGCTCGTTATACCTGGGAAGAGATTCAGAAGCACAACTTGAAGACCGATAAGTGGCTGGTGATAGACCGCAAGGTGTACAACATCACCCAATGGGTGAAGCGGCACCCTGGGGGCCTGCGGGTCATTAGCCACTACGCTGGTGAGGATGCCACGGTGAGTAATGCAGGCTCCACTGGCAGGGTAACATTCAGTGTTTCAATCCGTACCTTCACTCACTAAGCTAACAATCAGGCAATTATATTCTATGCACTGCGACAATGGGTTATATGCTGCTTAACTTACAAATATCATATTTCTATTCACTTCAAATACACAGATAGAATATTTAATAAATTATATAATTAGATATTATGGAAAAAAATCTATTAAATATGGAGATATGCATATTAAAAGTTTTAGCTGAGAATAATATATACATTTTTGTCTGCAACATGTACGATTATTGTTCTTCTGCATAACTATTGCATTGAATCTCTGTGAATAAATGTGTATTTCTGACTGTGAGACTGGACGTGCTCTGCAGCATGAAGCGGTGAGCCTTTAACCCCCTTCGAGGATCGTGCTGAACTGAGCTTAGTATGGTATAAATACTAGGCTTCCTGATTAGGGAAATTTGCATAGCAAATGTGTAGAATGTATTGTCTCTACGTCTAGTCAGGTGGCTTTAAATGAGCAGTCTGATGGGTACATCTTACAGAATACACAGATACACACACAGATAACACACACACACACAGATATTACACACACACAGATAACACACACACTCAGAGATAACACATACACACAGAGATATTACATACACACAGATAACACACACTCACAGATAACACACACACAGATATTACATACACACACAGATAACACACACACACAGATAACACATACACACAGATATTACGTACACACAGATAACACACACACACACAGATATTACGTACACACACACAGATATTACATACACACACAAATAACACACAATCCACTTATGTTATTTTGCCTCGCTATCAAAGCTTCACAAAGAAAAAGAGAAGAGAAATGTAGCAGTATTATATTTTCAATATATAACCTGTCTTAAAAAGTTCATTGTTTTTGAGCCAAAGAGCAAAACTATGATGTCGTATCTACAGATGGCTATTTTAATAAGGTATCGATGTCATTCCAAACCAGTTTTTGATGAAATCCTATAAGCAGCACCTTGTCAACTCTTGCGTCCACATTCCTACATTTGACGTCTTCGTCTGTATGTTTTGTTTTGTACAATTCCGCTTTATCAGTAAAGTATAAGATTGCTACTGCTGTTTGTACATGCTGGTCGATGCATCTTGCTCAGTCCCTCTCTTGCTTTATTAGCACTCACCATCTAAGTAAATTATTTATTTTCTTGTTAATTTATTACCATGGAAATATAAGCACCATAACTACTGCCATGTATTGTAATGGTTATGGAGTAAAGAGTCTTAAGGTGTATTCCCACCATTGTCAAACCATATTGAGCCAAAGCCGTCCTCCTCTGCTGTTGATTACATAATTAGAAAATTTCAGGCCCAAAACGTTCTAAACAGAGACAGCAATAATAATCTCAAAGGGCTATTCTAGTGTCTACATTATCTGAAAAATGTAGGCGCGGGTTATGGCTCCAGGAGAGTAACATTTCTTTTTAATCTGCTTTAAAAAGGTTAAACAAAAAGCATTGTAGTCAGCACCCAAAGACTGCTTGCACTATAACCACTATAAGAAGCTGTAGTGATTATGGTGCATTGACTCTCCCTTTAAAGGAACATGCAAGTACCATAACCACTACAGCATGTTTAGCTCATGAGAACGCATGGCTGTCCGTTAGTAGTAGAGACTGTAAGCGCAGTCCCTAGGTAAGAAGTTAAACCATTCTAAAATGGTTTTACTAAGTACAGTGGTGTGTCGCCAGGGCACTCTTTGCACCATAACCACTACAATGTGCTGTTGTGGTTATGGTCCTGAGAATGGTATTTAATTAATTCCTGTAATGTACAGTTACCAGTTGAGGGTTTTGAATGAATCTTTCTTTATGTTAACACAAAAATATATTTATCTTTTATCTGATTTAGCATTTCAGGGGAACTGATTTGTAACATGCCTTGAGTAACAGAAACAGTATCTAAAACATCCACGCAGCTTCGAGCAAGTACAGCATTATCAGATTTCATCAGTGTGGACTCATTCACAATAAATCAATTGGTTTTGGGATTAAGCAAACTTTCATGTGACAGGTGTGAGGTTTTTCCTTGTGTGCTTGTGCACATTTGTTCGGTGTGTTTGTATAAATGTTTGTGTATACATAGTGGATGCATATTATTTTTTGTAAGCCACAAAAATACTCTGCGGTGCTCTATAAAGGGGAAACAAAAAATACAAGAATGGCGTTCAGGAACAAGAGCTGATGTTTTCTCAACCCAGAAAAAGAAATTCTCACACACGATTGATTGTGTATTTAAGAGCATGTTATTCACTGCATTACACACTGTTTAACTGTACTAATATCTTCTCCCACAATCAGTGGTGTATCCTGGTTTTGTGCTGCCCTAGGCAGGACAAAACTCAGGCGCCCCCCTCCCCCCCGCGCCACCCCCACCCAACCCTTCCCCCCGCCCCACCTTCTAAATACACACACACACAGTCAGACACAAACACACACACACACAGTCAGACACATACACAAACACACACACAGTCAGACACAAACACAAACACACACACACAGTCAAACACACACACACAGAGTCAGACACACACAGTCAGACACAAACACACACAGACACACACAGTCAGACACAAACACACACACACAGTCAGACACATACACAGACACAAACACACACACAGACACAAACACACACACAGACACAAACACACACACAGTCCAGACACAAACACACACAGTCAGACACAAACACACCACACATTAACTTTGATGAAATCCCCCCAACCTCCTTACCTTTGGGAGTGCGCTGGGGAGGTCTCTCCCCTGGTGGTCCAGTGGCTGCAGGGCGGGCGCAGTAGTAGCGCGGTTGAGAGAGTATGATACCAGCGCCAGGCATGTAGCAGGCCGGGGAGCCGGAAGATGACGTCATCTTCGCCTCAGCCTCACTTTGTGCGCGGTGGTTTCGAGCAGTCAGCTCATGGGAAGTGCTCCCTCGCCGGCCGCCCGCTCGGGATGTCTGTTAGCCGCAAGGCTAACAAGGCATCTGCCCTGGGCATTTGGGGGGCGGCGTTTTTTGCCGCCCCCTGAAAAATGCCGCCCAAGGCAAATGCCTTGTTTGCCTCGCGGCTAATACGTCCCTGCCCACAATGCCTGGCCATTTCTAGATCTGTACAATGATATCTTCTCCCACAATGCCTGGCCATTTCTAGGTCCGTACACTGATATCTTCTCCCACAATGCCTGGGCCATTTCTAGGTCCGTACACTAATATCTTCTCCCACAATGCCTGGCCATTTCTAGGCACGTACAATGATATCTTCTCCCACAATGCCTGGCCATTTCTAGGCACGTACAATGATATCTTCTCCCACAATGCCTGGCCATTTCTAGGTCCGTACACTGATATCTTCTCCCACAATGCCTGGCCATTTCTAGGTCCGTACACTAATATCTTCTCCCACAATGCCTGGCCATTTCTAGGTCCGTACAATGATATCTTCTCCCACAATGCCTGGCCATTTCTAGGTCCGTACACTGATATCCTCTCCCACAATGCCTGGCCATTTCTAGATCCGTACACTGATATCTTCTCCCACAATGCCTGGGCCATTTCTAGGTCCGTACACTGATATCTTCTCTCACAATGCCTGGCCATTTTTAGGCACGTACAATGATATCTTCTCCCACAATGCCTGGCCATTTCTAGGCACGTACAATGATATCTTCTCCCACAATGCCTGGCCATTTCTAGGT